ATGGCGGTGGCAGCAGCATTTCTAGTCAGGCAGTGCTGAGGGAATTAACTTTGTGGCTTATTATAATGCACTGGGATCACTTTTAAACTCTTTGCTCCAGAGGTATTAAGGACCCTCTCCTTGTTAATGGTCTTGATGTTCCACCAATCAAGCTAGTCTTTGTTCTGCATTTCTGCTGTCTGTTAACCACTCCTGGTAATGAAGCTCTTACTTCAGAGCGCTACAGATTGATTTTTTAAACTCATTCCAGTGAAGTTATATATATATATTTTGCTTCCATCTTAAACTGAATAATCTTAAACTAGCCCCAGACCCCAAGTGTGTTAGTAAAGCTTCTACTTTATTTTTAACTGGAGAAACATATGTGTTCACCATCTGCAACACAATCTTCAAGAGGAGATTGGACGGTCACCTTGCTGGGAACCTGACCCCAGTTGTCTTTCCTGCCTAGTGCAGGGCAGGGAGGGGGGAAATGACCTGATGATCTTGTGAGGTCCCTTCCAGCCCCTTACAATCTGTGAACCTCCTCCTCTTCTCAAAATTGTAGGTCCACCCACAACTAGTGATGGACTTCAGTGTCTCAGAGGCATGGGCCAGGGACCACCTTCAGGCATCCAAACAGGGGAGATCCAAGAGCAGCGCTGTCTGGAGTGCTTTAAATTAGTGCCTGGCTGTTTCCTGTTGTCTATGATTGATGTTCTCCCTGAAGCTCAGGAGGGGGAACCCTTGGTTCTGCTTGATTCTGTACATTGTGTGTGTGTGTGTGTGTGTGTGTGTGTGTGTGTGTGCGCAGATATCAGAAATATGTATGTATAAATACATATAAACATTCAAGGCCACAGCTACACACATGCGTACGTGTATAGATATTGTATCAAGTGGAACCAAGCTCGAGCTCCAGGATGAACATGAATCCTAGTCATCGTAAAATGAGGTGCTAATTTAAGGGTGTTGGTTATAGCCGCTTTTGCTCTAAGGATATAGGCAGACAAGGTTCTTTGGGTAAATGTGATGTCTTTTATTAGACCAACTAAATAGTTGGAAATATTGTTCTTTGCAAACTTTCGGGCACAAACAGACTCTCCCTGTGCCTGAAGGAGGGTGTCTGTGCCCCAAAGCTTGCAAAGACTAATTCTTCCAGCTATTCAGTTGCCCTAACAAAAGATATCCCACTTAGCCAGAGAACCTTGTGAGCGCTAATGTAAAGCACTCCGGACAGCGCTGCTCTTGGATCTCCCCTGTTCGGCTGCCTGAAGGTGGTCCCTGTCCCACGCCTCCGAGACACTGAAGTCCATCGCTAGCCACCGGCGGACGTAGGCTTTTGAGAAGGGAGGTGCAGGTGGTGAGGTGCGTGGGCACCTATGAGGGGGCAGATACCGAGGGGAGTCTTTGGCCAGCGCCTCTATGTCTAGCTACAGACAGATGTGTACGCCCCCCCCGATTTTACCAAAGCAGTCAGCCCCCCAGGGGTGCACGACGGTGTGCCATCCATGCCAGGGGCGCGGGCTGCAGGGCAGCTGCAAGCAGGGCTACAACCAAGGGGGGAGGTGGGAAAGGGAGGGGGAGAGAGAGAGAGTGTGTGTGTGTGGGGTGGGGGGGGGCGGTGCTCAGCAGCCCAGTTTCCCTCACAGCAGGCCGGG